AGGTGCTATCCACGGTCAAACCTGAGGTGCTATCCACGGTCAAACCTGAGGTGCTATCCACGGTCAAACCTGAGGTGCTATCCACGGTCAAACCTATGCGGTGTGATGAATATATCAAAAAGGGAATGATCGAGCTTGCATCTGCTATATATTCGGCCTTGAAGACATCGCCAGATCGGCTCCCCGGTATTCCTACTATTGACGATTGCACCCGGGTGAAGCTGCGCTGTGCACTGCGCAGCGCTGACGGTTATCATCATTTTGTCGACGATCAATATAGGGGGTGCCGTATTAGGTCACTAGAAGTTTTGGAGGACCGGGCTACTGCTCAAGTCGAGGTTGAAGACGATCCTGAGTTGAGACAGATATCCATGCCGGTTGAGCAGTTACCAACGCTTGTGGAAAGCCTATATGACGAAGCGGCGGAGGGTTCAGAACGGGCAGCTGTGGAGCTGTGGCACACTTTTGGATCGGTAGGCAAGCCTTCCGGCAGAATTTCTTAGGTTCATAGTCAACGCCTCGGCTACTGGGACGGAGAAGTACATGTGAGTGTGACCAGTCGTCGCACGAAAGTCAGGCAGCTATCGCGCGAGGTCAGCCGGCCGCCTCGCCGCGACCGCCAGCCAGGTCCGGCGAGGTCTAGATAGTGTTCGCCCGATAAAGGGAGCCAAATAGGAGCCGCTGCACGTTGACCAATCTCTAGGGGCGTTGGTTTGCCGTCATCGTGAATCGGGTGCGGTGGCGGACTATAAGAAGTTGATCGATAACCATACTTGGGGTTGAAAATGGACTGGGGCTGTCCGATTAGGGCGCCTCCTAGGGGACGAACATGACGGAGATGCGGTAAGGAGGCGGCTCCTGAGGACCGTCTATGACTTCTTCCTATAGGGGACGAGGGTCAGTGCCATTTAGGACCTCCTCCGTCGAGTCTCCTTGGCTTGATGACACTTTCAAGTGTTTCTCGCCCGCCATGATCCTTTTGCCCGAGTAAGCGCACCATCTTCACTATAAGTTACATCTTTGAGGATAACTTCCTCTTCCGACCGTAATGCTACGTCATCTGAACTATGATTATGGGTCACCCGAGGCTTTGCCTGCTTCGATGCTGGAATAGTTTCGACACCTGCCCCCTCTCACCGTAAATGGCTTATCTTAACTCCCATTCCCATCGAGCCCGTCTCCGATTGTATCGATCTAGGTTGCGTTTTGGCCTTGGATGGACAGACAACATAAAGGTCACTGCCCTGTCTTGGCGAGGAAAGAGAAACTCGCTCGTCCCCTCTACCTAGCCGTCTCTATCTTCGATTCCCGCCTCCGTCAGCCCATAGTGACGGTCCATCTGCGCCAGCTGCGACACCCACGGTGTCCAATCGTCTCAAGAGCGAAGAACCCACTTTCGCTTCCGCTCTACAGCACAGCAAATCAGACTTACTGGCCAGCTTCTCCCAGAAAATTATACATTGACCAGAGCCCCTTTCGGCGCAACCAACCGAGATCGCTTCCATGGGGCTTCGTCAACGCTGTGAATGGTTAGACTCGTTTCGCCCTAATAGAGAAGGGAAGTAGGTACTTCTCGGCCAAAGTATTCCCTCGCTCTATCTGCAGACGCCTTCGACCCCTCCACTCGATCCTCAATCCGAACGTTCCAGGCAGAGACGGCTTCCTGGCGAGCTTCGCCGGACACAACGGTCGCGTTGCACCACTTCGGAGTTACGTCGGAGTTGATTCGCGTGGTGCACTCTTACTTCGTTCCACACTCTGGTTCCAGTATCCCTTGAGGCCCTCGTGGTATCCGCTCAAAAACACATAATAAAGACTCTCGCAAAGAAGGCGAGTTTGGTGCAAATAGTCGTTAGGGTCGTCGCCATAGTCTAGCTCAGGGATCGATTGTCGCCGGTGACCTTCTGGAAACTGGCCCTAGAAGAATTTCGGATCTCGGCGACCCTCCTGTCGGCCGATCCTCAAATGTGCCATGATTCTGGGAGTTTATCCAAGCGCACGCTGTATGTATAATCCATCCATTAACGAAGTCCTACTCTAGAATTGATTGCATTGTAAACCTAGCGTCACACTCTGCTGTCATCTGTGCAGAGCAATTACGACGTTCCCGTCAGGCTCACTGTGATGCCTTGGGCCTTGTGGATTGTGACTGCATAGGCATTGGTGATTGGAAACTGTGCGCGGGATCACATGGCGGCACCGCGGTAGAACTCGTGCCTGGAACGAAAGATGGGCGTCAAGATCTCTCCATTGACGCAGGCGACGGCTGGCCCATTGTAGTGGTCAAAACACACGAGGATGGCGATTGGGGGCTCCTTTGCTTGCCAATTGGCACCAGGTTTCCAGAAAATGTCTCTCACCGTGCTCAGGGCACCATCGACCAAACCACGCTCGATCCAAATGTTCTCTGTCAGCGTAACTCGGCCCCCAATCGCCCAGTGGAAGTGCCGCATGAAGATTGCTAGCTTCTTCGGATGTGGCCTGTGGAGGCTTTGCTGGCGCTGGATCTCCATGAGATGCATGCGAGATGATCACGGGCGCCTAGAGATCTCGCAGACGATCGTGATTGTACTGCGCATCTCCCGTCTTCTTGCCGTAAATGCGTAAGGCGTCCGCGGGTGCCGGAATCCTTGATGGGACAACGGCCTGGACACGAGTGCAGAGAAGTTTCCAGTCCTCGAAAGTACCCGGAGTCATCACGGAGAGCATCGAGAGCCTTTCGAAAAGCGACGGATTCAGCATCCTGTCCCTGCTGGCGACGGATGGCATCGAGTTCAATAGTCCTGTTGAATCGTCTGGAAAGACTGTTGCCAGCGATCTCCTCGGGATTGGACGTCTCACCCACGTAGAAGAGAGGTCTCACACCAACAGCAGGGAGTTGCCAGAAGTCGCCCGCAATTGCGATGTCGATGCATCTAAACTTGGTCCTACTCTTCTCTTTGAAGATCTCCCTTGGTGGCTAGTCGATCCATACCAACATCTTCAGCGCAGTCATGGATCTTTTCCTCGACAATCAGATATCGAACATGCTTCAACTCGGCATTCTGAAGCGCAGCCAGGTTCTGGGTACTCAGATCTTCGTAACCCTTGACCAACTTGAGGGGCAGCTTGAACTGAGCAATGCAATGTTCGGCCACTGACAGCATGGGCAGCAAGCCCAGTGGGGGCCACACGAGCAATTGGACTAGGCTTTCCATGACGCTTGTGCCCATCGGTTCTAGGGTTGCCGCAATGAACGTGACGACGTGCGATTTGCCTGTGCCCGCCTTGCCATCGAGATTGATCACGAATTGCTTGTTCCGCCGGCAGGCAAGTTCACTTTCATGGTGGGTAATGAAATAGTCATATAACTGTCATCTGCTTGAACTTCAAGACTGTCCGATCGGCAGATGGATGGACTGCCAGAGTAGCAGGAACACTCAGCTTCAACTCCTTCCAGTAGTCATCAGGAAAGGTGTAACGACCAACTTGGGGTGTCCAGCCATACTGACGATCGAAACCACGCTCTCCACGCCCCTCAGGATCTGCCTGACGGACACCCATCGTCGCGCGGTTAGACAGCCGCCGAGCGAGTTCTCCCGAGGAACCTCCGACATCAGCATCGTCGTCCACATTGAGATTCTCAAGACCATCGTCCCCCGGGTTCTGGTGGGAGTTCTTCCATGAAATCTGGCAGAACAGTGTCCATATGGGTGGAACTCCAGTAGGCCCATGCCTCTGTAAATGTCGCGGAGTCAACGTCGACATCAAGTCTCAGCAACTCATCAACCTGATGTTCCAATAACGATTTGATTGCTGCAAAAGCCTGGGGCCATACCAGATTCATCCATGTTCCAGGTGTGTCTAGACTGGATCGAATATCGCTCTTTGATCGCCTGTAGGTCTCGAAACCAGTGTTCCCGAAGCTCAGGAAGGTAACAGTTGACGCGCTCAACACAGATCTCCTTACCTACCTTTGGATGGATATCAGGATATCGCTGGATAAACCGTGGTAGCCAGTCGTTGCCGATGTGTTCAGGGCCACCATTATTCTTACTAATTACGCCGGCGAGAACTCGCACAGTAGCGTAGTTGGGAGCGTGTCCTGTCGCCTCCAGATCAAATATCCATCTCTTTAATAGTTCCTCCTGTATGTTTGACGATGTCTACTGCGGTTCGTGGGACAACGCGGCCGATTGAGTGCCTTGTAGTCGGCGGACGAGCGTGGAATGGTGGACATCGTTCGCGGCCACGGCTGCGCGAATACTAGGAAAACGACGTAATCGATAGTCAGAGATTGCCCCCTGGATCCTAGTCTCTCGAATCGAGGCCATTGACGCGTAATGGAAGGCGAATTGGTTGAGTGGTAGTTAGTTGATTGAATTCGTGTGGACGTGGAGGGGTGGTAGAACGCGTGGTGCAAAAGTTGGCGGGTGGACTTGGATGGAGGAAAGCTCAGTGCTGAATTGGTTAGCCACATGACTCCACAAATCCACCTCGCCTCTCTCAAAAATAACTTATTTCTACGGCGGGCGGCAGAGAGCCTTAGTGGCCAGGAATCGGGATTTTTCTTTCCTCCATCGAAAATATCTAACTAGCGCCGTTAGACTAATACTCATCTTCCCGGATTCTTCAGAAAGCCCAAGGCGTTCGTCAGCTCTTGATCCCGACGGTCGCACTCACGTTTGAGACACAAGTACCCTTTCTAACTCCCATTCTCGACCCCCTCTCCCCCTTCCTTACATATCCCCAGCTGGTGACCACCTCCAGCATGGCTACAGCATGGCTTCAGCACAGTTTCGTAAGCCTCCGCAGGCGCCCCCAAGCTTCACGGCAACGCCCGAGTCACTCGTGAAGGACACGGAGGACATGTTGGCTCGTTCAAAGAAGATCGCGGACGATATCGTTGCTCAAGTTGCGCCGGAGGACGCGACGTTTCAGAATGTGCTTCTGCCCATGGCGCATGACGAAAACCAGCAAGCATTGAAACTAGCATCCTAGGATTCTATGGGTCCGTCTCCACCCGATAAGGTACTGCGCGATGCCTCAACTGAAGCAGAGAAACTTATGGACGACTTCAGTATTGAAGCTGCCATGCGGGAAGACGTGTTCAAGAAGGGGGGCGAGTTGGATCCCGAGTCCCAGAGGTTGCTAGAGAAGAAACATCGGGTTTTCGTACGGAATGGCTTGAATGTTCCAGCTGGACCCGAGCGGGACCGATTCAAGGAGATCGAGAAGAGACTCGGCCAGCTAGTCATCGCCTTTTCCAAGAACCTGGAAGAAGAGAACGGTGGCCTGTGGTTTACTCTTGCAGAGCTCAACGGTGTGTCCCTTGAGATGTCCTGTCTCTGTTAAAGAAAGAAGGGGACAAGTACTGGTTGCACCTTCAAAGACCCAGACCTATTGCCTACTCTCAGATACGCCACCAACAGCGCAACGAGACGCAAAGTCTTTGTTGCGAACGAGAACAAATGCAACCAAAACGTCCCGTTGTTTCGGGAAGCCATTCTGCTCAGAGACGAAGCTGCTCGCCTGCTTGGCTATCCCAATCATGCTGCTTTCAGGATCGAGGAGAACATGGCAAAGACCCCCAAGACAGTGGACGATTTCCTGGCTGATCTGCGCAACCGACTAAGCCATGGAGGTCTGGACGAGATCGCGACTCTGAAGAAGATGAAGGAAGAAGACCTGAAATCTCGTGGCGAGGACTACGACGGGCGCTACTATGCAGGCTTAAACAAGCATGGTGCGATGTTCTTTGTACACACGCTTACCCTGGGGCCTCATAGAGGTTGATGGCCACGAATTTGGCGACTCCGTTGCTTGTTGACCGGCTGGGCTTCGAAACAGTGTCTGTGGCCCACGGAAGTTCGTTGGTGTGCCACCTTCTACCAGCGATAGTTTCTTGTCTCTAGGTTTTTCACCGTTGTGCGGTTTTCATAGCTTCAGATGGGACGCTGTTGGCATGGTGACCGAATGAACGTGGTGGGGCCAAGCGTACGTCGCGCAGCCGAGCAAGCGGCCTTTGGGTCGTACGGGCACGGTAACGGCGAGGGGGGGG